TGAAGCTGATGCCAAGGAAAGGCTGCTGCGGCAGATGTGTGTGTGTGCGAGGGGGGCCGGCGCGCCAGGTGGGAAGAGCCAGTAGCATTCGGGGGCAGAAGCGGTTTAAGGGAGGAAAAGAGAACTGCAGGCAGGTTTGGGGGGGGGGGAGGTGACGAAAAGGACAGACCGAAGGAACGGGACGGAGGGGAAGGGGGGAGGTCAGGGGAGGGGAAGGGGGGGGAAGACGAACCACGAGCGCGTGAAGTTGGGGGGAAGTGGCAGGAAGCCAGGAAGCAAAGGGGGGATGAGCGGAGACGAGGGGACCTCTTTCTTCGGCTCTGGCTGACTTTGGTGGATTCAATTCTCCTCCTCTCCTCTTTCAGGCTCTCAGTTCCTTTCTCTAAGCTCATGCACACATACATGCGTACATACATACAACGACCCACGGGTCACATGATCGCCTCCAGGTCCTCATCTCCATCCAGTCCCTTATTCTGGTTCCGGAGCCCTACTTCAACGAACCGAGTTACGAGTCGCAAACCGGCGACAGAGGCAAGGCCGCCTCGCAAGAGTACAACAAGAACGTACGGGAGAACTGCGTGCGTTACGCCATGCTGGACGTGCTGCGCCACCCGCCCGCCGCTCTGGCCGACATCGTACGAACGCACTTTCGACTTCGGCGCGACGCGCTGCTGACCCAAATCCAGGGATGGGCGGATGAGGCCCAGGCCACGGACCCCTCCGCTGCGGGCCGGCTATTAGACATGCGGCGAGATTTGGAATCCCTCATGGCGGCGCTGTGAGAGAGAGGTTTTTTTTGTTTTTGGCGTTGGGAAGGGGGTAAGCCCCTCATGGACTCATGAAGCGGAGAATCCACCACTGCTCTGCCGTGGGGCTCTGCTGTTCAGACGAAGAAGGGGTCGTACACCGTGCAGGAGAGCGCGGGTGCAGTGCAGGAATGACGGGTGGGCTTGTCAGGGGCTGATATAGCTGCTAGCGCCCCAAGGGGAGGGAGTGAAGGGTGGAGGGGTAGCCCCAAGGGATCCAGTGGTGAGACACGTCATGGGTGCGGGGCGCCGCGGGTGGGTGCTTATTGGAGCGGGGTGCAGAAAGGGCCATGTGAATAGTGTGGAGGAAGCAAGGAAAGTAGCAACGGTCTTGCGTGCAGCGGGATGTATACGGTACAGTTGTACGGTACAGTTGTACAGTACAATTGTACGGTACAGTTGTACGGTACAGTTGTACGGTACAGATGTACGGTACAGTTGTACGGTACAGTTTTACTGAGAGAGAAGACCAAGGTTTGTGGAGGGTTTGTGGATATGGCGGCTGATTGGGGAAGGGGTTGGAGTGGCGGCCGGCTGATGGGCTCTGTGAGCTATGTTGGGTAGAGGGATATGCACAGGAGGGGATGGCTGTGCAGTAGGTAGTGAAAGCGGCTGTAGTGAAATGTGGGGCGGCGGCGGCAACATCGGTTGAAGAATGTCACAAAAAAACGTTTTGGGAAATTCATGGCTGGATAAGCCTTGATGTAAGTTTGGGTTTGGGTACTTTGGGGAGTTGGGATCCCATAGTCCAGGGTACAAGAGTAAGGCGGCAAGTAAGGAAAACATACATGCAAGAGGCGAATGGGAAAGCACGAAGGATGCAAGATGGGGCTTGCGCCGCTGCTGCAGCAATTGCTGTTTTTTGTGCCATTGTTGTTTTTGTTCTTTTTCACGAAGTCCGCAAATTTCAGCGTACTGACTGCCAGTCTTTTTCTTGTCGGCGCATAATAAGACGTTTCTGCATCTCAAAAAAAGAATAATCGACAATGTTTGTGTGGGATGTGGGATCCATCCATTTGGGGGAAGTTGCCATGACACCTTCCTTTTTGGGGGAAGTTGCCGGCGTGTGTGACAGCACGACGAGGGCAAGGACTTTATTCGGGACCGGAAGCTTTACATAGTTTACATTTATGTATTTAACAGCGACGTGAGGAATTACAGTTACAGGTTCGCCAGGTCGGATGACGACACGAGGAGGCTTGCCAATAGAAAAAAGGGGGATGGAGATCGAGGAAGGTCGCCCACATAGTGGCGCACAAGCGGATCGGTGCAGCGGAGTGATGCATGTCAACCCACAGCCGCCGCCGCCGCCGCCGCTGCGGAGTGGTGACACACCACCGCCGCGACCGCGACGGCGAGGGGCTTCTTCCCGTCCTCTCGCTCGCCCCTCGCTCGGCCCTCTCCCATGTTGGGGTAGGGGTTTGTTTCCGCTTTTTTCCCGGTCCCGTTCTATATGAGAACTTAAGATCCCGTGTCCTTTGCTGGCCAGCAAATAGTTCCCGATATCTCCCGACCATCGATATCTCCCGCAGGCCGGGTTGCGTTACTGTCGATGGCCGGAAGGAGGACCGGTTTCCCAACCCAAAGCTTGGAGAACAAAACAGCAAACTCCCGGTAAAGCAGTGTGTAAGTATGCCTTGCGCAACGCCATCCAAGAAATTATGCGGTGAAGGCCGGCTCACGGAAGGGCCCGAATTTGGGCCATAGCGGGTGGAAGGAATCAATCACGCACAGATGCAGTTTTAGGATTCCGGCAGGCTGGAAGCAAACGGGAATTATGCGGGAACAGGGGTATGAAAGGCGGCGGCTGTTCTACGACCGCCGATTCGTGTATTGGCCCTGTGATGCACCACTTTAACGATGGTCTCGTGGTCATACGTTTGGAGGGTAGGTTTGCTGTATATGCAGAGAGACAGTTGCTCGTCGTGTCGGGCTAGGCAGCAAAGCAGCCGGAGGGTAATGCGCACGTCACAAGCCGTCACACATGTCAGTTGCGATGCCTGCGCGAAGGTTTTGGCCACTTTTGTGCATCTTTAATTGGGAGACTGCGCAAGTGTTTTGGATTAGGATCATATCAAAGGCGGGGGCTACTGTATCGTGCATGGACCAACTGCCCTCAAGACATTCACGGCATTTGTACGGAATCAACGTCCGCCTCGTGGTCTTCTTCCCAAGTTGCTGTTAAAAATTATTATCGTCCCATGCACTTCCGGACGCAAATATACAGGCGCATTCTTCCTTGAAGCATACGACACTTCCTTCAAAAACATTCACCCTTACACTGTGACGTCAGAGATTACAGCTAGACCTAAAGCCCCTAGTTCATTTAATAAACAAATGTTTCCCACTGATTCTGGCAGCTGCTGCAGCTGTCAGAACATAGGAACGGCGTGAGGCCGTTGAGCACTTACCTGACTTATCAGTTTACCATGCTTTCCGCGTTGAGTGCCATAGCTGTAACAATTTCTGGGATTCAAGCAGCTTTATTCCTTGACCCAGAAGTTCCATTGGCGCCTGCCTCCTGGGCAATTATTTCGGTCTGCATCTGGCTCCTATTCGTGCTCAGCAAAGGAGGATGGTCACAGCTCTCTGCAAACGAAGCAAGACGCTTTACCTTTGGGATTTTTGCTGCTGTATCATTTCTTCAATTTCTTCAACTTGATACGCAGTTCAAGGCGAGCTCCGTGCAGCTTTTATGCCTCAATAAGCGGCAATTAGTGCTTACGTAAGCTTAAAATGTTGCTGGCAATCAACCACCGAAAACATGGTCCCGTGCTCGCAGGGTTGGAGCTCCGTATACTACTTCTGTGGCAGCAAGCTTCAGTATTGCACATGCAATTTTCGATGGAATTTGCTGGGCTGGCTGAAAGCAGTCGTGCTCTGGCAGTTTGTGCTGTCCGCGACCCTGGGTGCGCAGCAGCTCATCATCCAAGCTGGCCTTGGCGGTCTGCTTCCAGGTGCGTGACCATTTTCCGGGATCATCGTCCTCAACTTGACGACACTTTTGAAGTCGGGGGTAGTGGCAGAGCTTCCACACCATCCTTTCCTCCCTAGTTCTTTCCTTCCTTCCCCCCACCTCCTCCTAGCTACCTCCTCTCCTCCTTCAACCCCCAACCAACTCGCCGCTCCCCCGTTTAAACGCATGCTCTGCTTTTCATCTCCGCTGCTGATTCCTTGGACATTAGCAAATGCTCCTTTATTTCTTTTTCACACGACATCCCCCTAAACTAAAGCACAAACGCACACGTGCGCATCCACGATTTTTCCTCCCTCCTCCAGGGGAGGAGGCGGTGACCCGCGAGTCCGTCATCTCCATCGGCTGGCGCCTCATTCCCTTCTGGCTGAACAACTGGGAGCAGAAGTGGGGGGCGGAGGTGTCCTCCATGACTTTCGAGCTCCCCCACTTTGCGGTGCGCACCACGGGAAACAGGGAAGCGGGTCGCGATGGAATTACAA